GATCTAAAAAGCAAAATGAATACTTGGTACCCAGGGTACCGAAAAAGTGACCCCAGAACTCCCTTTTATGCCCTACTGTAATACTGTGTGGTATTAGTTTGTTCTTTGTTCTGGAGAACCTAATGTAATATTTATTTAGCAAAGTACCGAGCTTTAATAGTTTAATTACTTTTGTTTACTCAAAATTTTTATTTTTAGGGGTGAACTGAAATGAGTATCAAATTTAACTTATAAAAATTTAAATTTAAGATTTTTTTAATCTTTGCCAAAACTGGATTAAAATAAGCCAATCTAAACCAGACCAAACTATTAACATTTTTACAAATAGCTATAAAAATCCCAAAACAATTAATTAATATTTTCAAAAAGCTATAATTATTACAATAAGTAACAATTCTTCTAATTAAAATCTTTATAAAACTGCTCGATACATAAGTATCGAGGCAGTTTTGTCTCGAATCAACTCAGATTCAGGCCCGATTACAGTCACATGTTCGATTGGTTAATCGATCAGTGATCGATCGAACTATTAAGTAAGTATGAGGTAATTTTTAAGCATTTGATAGTATAAGTGTATACTGTGATTATGAAGTAATTATTTGGTGATTCATTGGAGTAAGGTAACTTAATTAAGTATGAGGTAATAGTTAAGTATTTCGTTCAAGGTATATATTAGTGCTGTTAAGATATATTAGTATGATAGCTTTGTTTCTTCTGCAAACCCGATATTTGTTCTAGTTATATCGTTCCCACCCTCCCTACCCTAACAGAGTTAGTATTTCAAGACAGCTGCCAGGACGGCAGTCACACAGTGTAAGGCTGCATATAATTAATGGGTTTGTCTCGACAGTCATATATGAATGCAGTTTTCTCGTGACCTGTCGGGACGACAGTCATGCAGAGTAGGATTGAAATATGGCCTGTTGGACGACAGTCATATATATATGCAGTTGTCTCTTGACCTGTCGGGATGACAGTCGGATACATTTATAGTTTCCTGTGACCTGTTGGGATAACTGTTAAGCATGTACTAGAGGTTGGAACCGGTTTTAAATATTCGAGTTTATCACATCAAAATTCGAGTTTATCACACCAAAATTCGAGTTTATCACAACAATTATTAATAATTCATGTGATAAACTCGAATTTTGATGTGATAAACTCGAATATTTAAAACCGGTTCCAACCTCTAGCATGTTCGTTTTAGAAAGAAAAAGAGAAGAAAATTTTCGATTCTAAGAAACTGCGCAGGTTGCTCGATAAGCAGGAGAATAACCCATTTGTGTTTTCTTAGTATAAGACCCAGGAATGAAAAAAATTAAAACCAGGCTATAAAAATACTCACAATAATAAAATTATTCAGTAACTTATAATTGCATAAAATATTGAAAATAAGGTTATTGTTTTATTTATACGAAATTATGTTGTTGCATAATTATGAATATCATGCGAAATAATAGTTAAAAATCTCTTGACTAATTAGTATTGGTCATAACCTGTCATTGACCGATCATAGCCATAAACGTATCCATCCCTATTTCCGTCCTCATTTTCATTATGACTTAATCTATTACCCCTCCCACCTAAATCTTGTGTACCACGGTTCATTATAGTCTGATTACCATTTAATAAAATGGAGGAGTTATGATCATTGTTCATGGGAAATGTTATGTAGCTTGATGTTTGATCTTGATGAGGTGGAGAATTTGAGTCAGATGATGACCTCATCATAGAAATTGACGAAGTGCTTGTTAAAGGAGGATGATTAAATGAAGCAGAGCTGTTTATGTTTGCGTCCGAAATTTGATGATGTGGACTAGCACCAATCATTTCCCATTCACCTAAATACATATTATCGGAGCCTTGTTGAGAGAATTCCATCACATTTTGATTCCCATAATAATTTGAAGAAGGAACAACAGGTGGTTCGGCAAGTGATCTACCCAAAGACGCCATAGTAGATATATCCATATATTGATGGCTTGACAATTCGCCACTTTGAACATGGTGACTGGGTGATTGTTGAAACTGTTGAGGAAACGGTGGGGATGGTTCGGGTGTAGGATTTATTTTAAATATCCGTGAGGAATCATGAGGCAACGAATTTAAATATGATGATGATATTGGTTGATGTGAAATTTGGTCAACGTATGTGGGTTTATGGGAAGCGGGTTGCGTCATTTGTTGATGAGGTGATGGTACAGATGTCGTATTTTTTAAAGATTTTTTACGCGTACGATTTTTTATTATTGGGGATTTTTTGGTTTTGATAACAGGTGTTGGGACCGACAGATTAGATTCACCTCTGATGTTAATAGGATCTTGTTGCATTGATGGAGGTGGAGTAGGAACTACTTGAACTTGATCAACACCGTCTAGTTTGATATAATCATTCTCATTATCATCTAAACCGCCCTTGATAGATTTTTGAGTCAAAGCTTTAGGACTTTCCATCCTAGATAATTGCGCATCATACAAAGCTTTTAGCAGTTCATAACATTGTTTTAATCCGCAATTGTTTAGATCACCTAGTCGAGATTCTTTTACTGAATTGTCAAGAAATTCAAGGCATTTTTCCATATACATTTTTCCAATTTTATAAGAATCTAAATCGCTCATGTTCATTAAATGTATTGAGGCAGCCTGTCCTACACAATAAACAATAGCGGTAAAAGAGAATAATGTTTCTCGGGTATGGGGTATGTGACTGCACAATTTTGTAATATTTATTGCAGCCTGATTGCATACGCTATGTGAATTAATATTTGGAAAATCATCTGTACCTATATAAGGTTTGTGAAGAGAAATGACGACAGTATAATACATTTGATGCATAAAAGCAGTAAAAATTGATATTGGGGAGTCTGATTCGTTAACGGCGCTTGGATTATATTGTAAATGAGGAGGTAGAGCAAGTAACCAAGAATTTAAAGTGGCATCGATGGCTGGTAGTGTGTTACGCAGAGATCCGGGTTGAGAGAAGTAAGGTCTTGAGTGTAAAATATTACCGTATATTTTAAATAGCTTTGATAGATGAAAGTAATTGATAACTTCTTGTGCGTCATCACCATCTTCATCGATCTCGTACGGCAATTTAGTATTGTAATCGTATATAGGAAGTGGTTTACTAACATTATCAATTATATATATAAATACATAAAAATTATTGATATCAAAGTAAAATTTTCAAGAAATACGGATATACCCAAGGGAAGCACATGCGAGTGTTTCTGCATTCATGACTGCCCAAAAAACTCTAGTCCTAATTGCTTTTTCAAGTTTGCTAATAGGCCATTTCGAACAGTCACGATGTAATCCCAAATCCATACACATCCTGACGGCCATTCCGATGAGCGTCCAGATACGACACGAATTTTTGGTCTTTTAAGATTTAATAAATTTTAACAATGACGTACTAATGATAAAGCGAATTATTAGGGACAAAAAACTCACATCCTTTACACAAAAATGGTACAGGCAACAAAGAGCCTGAAAAATTATTTAATTTAAAGTTCTTATCAGATAAAGTTTAAAAGTAAATAAAAAAAATTTTGGTTTAATTATGTGACAAACCTGTATGGTGGAAAGGCGAGCTCTGTCCATGAAATCATCAATTAGGGCTGCAATTTATAAAATAAAATTTCTCGGATGAGATTCTTTGATTTATGGTCAAGACTAATAATTATCGAGATAAGGATATTCTACCTAGAGCACGATCGAAAAAGACGTCACCGGAAGTTTCCGGTTTTTCTGGATCTGAGCGTGTTCTCGGATCGGTTGAAAAAACGCTCGCTAAAGCCAACATAGAATTTAGTAATAAAATAGAAGGCTGGTTGCTTTTTTCTTTAAGCATTTTGAGAAATGATTGTTTGTGTATAAGTGGGGTTCGTGTTCCATAGCCATGAGTAAAGAATATTTGTATCAAATGATCAAACAGATCTTTTGGAGGTAATTCTTGTGGACCTTTGTAAGACTCTGGAAGTGATGGTTCAACGGATCGTTGGAACTCTTCGAGAACAATGTTACTACCTTCATCGTTAGTTTCGGATTGATCATCTTTAGTTACAGCATCAATAAATCTACTACTTTGTTTCAATGAAAGTGAAGACATTGAATCAACTAGCGCAATTGTTTGCAATTTTGACATATTTACAGCTTCGTACACATCAACCTCTAGATCTTCAATAGATTTATCTGGGGATTTATTAATAATACTCTGTTGAGCATCGGCACCTTCCAGGTATTTCGTTAAAACTTGTTCAATCTAGTTGGTTTAGAATGTAATGATACTATAATAGTTATTAAACGAAAACTACTATCGCTAATAAAATACCTTGCTCAATCTATCATCGATTGTTTCTACATAACCCCGTTTGCTGCCTGGGTGACTATAACTACATTCGCCATTAACGGATTTACAGTTTCCACAGATAGGATAATCACCATCGCATTTAACATGTCTTTTTCGACAACGATCACAGGCATGGCTGAAACCAATTTTTTTTAATTTATTTAAGGTTGTCGGAGTTATATAAGTGGAAAAAAGTCTGAGTGTAGATTTTTATTACAATAATAATAATAATATATATTAGTTGTTACCTTAGTCTCGCTCTCTTCTCCCGTTCGGCCGACATTTTTTGTTTTTAAAAAATTTTAAAAAAGTGTATAATTCCGTAATTCCTGTTATAGAAGATTGTTTATCACTGCGGTTTTTTTGGCATATAAATATAGTTAATTTTCAACCGACTAATCAAACAACTAAACCAATAAAATTCGTCAATATTATTGTTGACGTCACATTTTCAAAGGTATATTACGTATACGTATAGAGACTAACACTTTTCCAATAATTTTTATAAATTATATGATCTTTTTATAGGGAAGTTACTAGCCGAGTTTTTTCAACCCTCTTTTTAAAATTTGGCCGATTCGATAAATTTTTGATTCAACAAATATTTTGTGATTGTACGTATTCTACATCCACTCATTTGAGTGGTTCTAATAAACAGTAATACGACTAAACCATATACGGGTGGTGCGTGTATCACAGCATAACGTTAACACATCCAAAATTAAGTTTTCGCTTGAATGTATGTCTAGTAGTGTGTTTAGTCTGTACGAAAATATATGAGTGCTGTCATTAGAAAACCTGTCATCAAGCTTTCAATGTTCAGTTGGCTTTCTGTATGCCGTCTATGGACAATATATCATCGGAATAGATCGCCCATAGATTGCATGCACTGAACATTGAAAGCCCGATAACAGGTTTTCTATTGACAGCACTCATATGATGTTAACCAACAGATTTTAACAACAAAAATTGCCAACAGTTATTATATATAATACAGTAACTATGGTTAAGAATTATTATAAAACACACTTATGGTGTTTTACACCTATCATATTTATATTCATTCATTTTTCTAACACAAATTTTTTTATATTCGGGTTAGTATTTAGAGTTTAGAAGGGTTTTTAGGAACATAGAACATTTTTATTTAGAATACCTCACACCAACTAATTGACTAGTTTTTGTAATGTATACAGATGTAAAACACCATAGGTGTGTTTTAGTAAAAGTTTTTGGTTAATATACTTTTTTAATTTTTTAAAAAAATTTAATGGTTTAAAAATAAATTACTATACCTTTTAACTTAAAGAAACTATGATCGGATCCACTTTGGGTTCAAAGTGGACCCACTTCGGGTTCAAAGTGAACCCATTTCGGGTTCAAAGTGGACCCACTTCGGGTTCAAAGTGAACCCACTTTGGGTTCAGAGTGGACTCACTTTGGTTCAAAGTTGGGTTCAGAGTAGATTCAAAGTGAATCTACTTCAAGTTTAGAGTAGATCTACTTTAACTTTGGGTTTAGAGTAGTCTAATTTAGGTTCAAATTAGACTAATTTTAATTTTTTTTTTTTTATTTGTCCTATTTTACTTTACAGTAGTTGGGGCGCGTGTGGCACTCTTGCACTCTTTATTAGGTGTAAATTTATAAATATAATTAACTATTTACATAGAGGTGTTTACATATTATGTTATTTACAGAGTTAAGGGAAACTTTAAAGTTAGTGCCCGAATCTCTTTTGAGATTCATGTTTGAATGATAGGTGAGAGGGAAACCTCTGGGTTATCTCTGTTTCCCTATTTGGCATTAGTAAACCAACACCAAATATTGTATATTCCTGTTATATGAAGCCAAAAAGCTGTTTTATAATATTTTTTATTTGCAAATTTTGATACTGTGAGGATGTGTTCCAAAGAGCTTGGTATATCCAGTTTTTGTTTTATTTTTCAAAAACCTATAGGCTTCAATCCAAATTGCTTTGCTAATTTTGCAATCTACAGCAAAATGTTTAATTGTTTGTGGGGTGTTCTCATACTATAAGCAGAAACCTGATTCTGTTGTCGAGACATGTTGTAGCCTATAACCCAGAGGAAGGGCTCTATAAGACAGTCTCCAAAGGATGTCTTTCTTTTTATTGTCAATTCCTTTGAGTGTGATTCAATTGTGAGACTTGCCTTTAGCTTCATTTGTATATCTTGATGTTTGAAAGGTATTTTTTAAAAAAACTATTATTTCTTTAATTGTAAAATTCTCTTTTTTTTTTTTTTTACCCAGGAATAGGTCATAAGTATATAAACTTTGTCTTTAGCCTTTCTCCATGCTAGCAAATAAGGCTTTCACTCTGCTAGCCACACCTTGCTTTGGGGTAAATCCTCTTTTAAGGCTTGTAAAGTTGAGGTATTCTTTTTGCCCACAATGCTTCACTAATTTTTTTTTATTTAATTCTTGTTCAAAATATATTCTTACTGTAGAGAGAAATTTTAACTAGATTGATAATATTCTTGTTTTCAATAAGTTACTTATAATAGAGGCTTGTAGGCTACCTCTTTCATATAGTTGGAAAACTAAGTACATTAGCAAAATATATTAACGTAATCTTACGTAAGTTATTACGCCCTGAAATATTGCGCAATAATTATGGTCTGGACATAATATTGCGCAAAAAGTTGCGAAATATTGCGCAATATATAACGTAATATTACGAAATATATTACGCAAAATTACGAATCTTATAGTGCAATATTACATAATATATTGCGCAATATTTCGAAATAGTTCGAAACAATGCGAATAAATGTAAATGCTTCAAAAAGGCAAAATATTTATAAATTAAAAGATAGCTACTAATAAGAAAGAAAGGCTAATCAAATTGAATTTATCAGATACTATTCGGGTAATTCAAATTAATTTGAAATAAATTAAATAATTTATAAATAATAGGAAATATATAAAAACGCAATAATTATACGATTTATTACATATTTTCGAATTAATTCGAAAAAAACTAAATTTATAATATTTATTTAAATAAACAAAATATAAATTT